AAACTCTAAAGTTAATTGGATATGAGATTAAAGATGTAGATTGATTCATCCTGAGCTGGTTTACATTTCTCTCATTATTTTATGTGTATCTATGCATTATGTTTTTATTGCTGTTGTAATTAATTGCCACAAATTGAGTGGCTTAAAATAGCACACATTCTTTATCTTATAACTCTCTAGGTCATAGATCCAACATGGGTCTCATTAAGCAAAAATCAAGGTGTCGCCAGGGCTGCATTTCTTTCTGTACACTCTACTGGGGATTCCATTATTCTTGCTCAGTGTTATTGGCAGAATTCATTTCTTTGAGGTTGTGGGACTGAAGACTCTGTTTTTCTGCTGCTATCAGCCAAATGTCCTTCTCAGCTTTAAGAGGTCATCATGTTCCTTGACTCATAGCCCCATCAGTTTTCAAAGTGAGCAGTGGCAAATTGAGTCCTCCTCTCCCCTACTTTTTCTGCCATAACATATCTTTGAATTACTCTTTTTTCCTCCTCTTCCTCTTTTTAGGACTCATGGGATTAGATTTGGTTTACCCAGATAATTTCTCCAAAGCTCCAGATAATTTCTCCATTTTAAGATTTGTAACTTTAATTATATCTGCAAAATCCATTTTCTCGTTTAATGTAGCATAGTCATAGGTCCCAGGAATTAGGATTTTGTCATTTCTTGGGGACCATTTTTCTGCATATTACAATTTTCTAATGAAAAGAAAGATTAATTTATGTGGTTTGTATTTGATTGGATTCCTCACTGCCATAAATTATTCACCTTTGCACCATTTGACACTACATTTCAGAAAAAAAACAGTTAAGTCATTTAGAAGTCAAACTCTATTGTGGTCATATTAATTGGGAGGTTTTGTACATTAAGTTTAAAGTTCAAATCTCAAGAGTGGATCACTGAGAGTACATGCCCTGTGACTTCTCCAAGCACTCAAGACATTGGCTCTTATCCAGCTTTTCAAGTCACTTATTTAGAAGTGTGTTGATTTTATATACCTAATGTATTTAGATTGGCATCATATCTTTATTTACTTGCCATTCTTATGTTTTAACTCTAGATACTGCTCTGTACTGCTACCTACATCTTGTGTAATTTATTGTATACTAACCAATTTTATTGTCCTGATATCTAACTTTTGACAAAATTTCTCTTTGACCATTAAGTAAAGAATTAAAGATTGAAACTCATGAGATAAAATTACTTAGCTGGTAACTCTCCTTCTATCAATAAAAAATACGCTATTGACCTGTCACATCTGATAGTCAATTCTCTCTCCTGAGAGTTAGTCAACCTCATGATTATGGATTGCCATAAGATTTTTCTTGCCAGAATTCAGATGACACTTGATCTTTGATTTCTACTAAAAGAAATTAAATATGTACAGCAGAGACAATTTTGCCTTTTAAATACGAGCACATTCTTGCCTGGATTTATTTGCAAAATGACTGTTTTAAGTGTTGTTTTGGATTGTTCTCCTGGTTGTTACCACTATGATTGTACATTTACTGAAAAACTGTTGAATAAAGATTTTGTAAAAGTCACAGAGAGAAGAAAAGTTTAAAATGTTTGAATCTGGTTCAAAATTATATTTCAAATCTTGGATCAGATTATGAAATTATATGTCCTATTAGATCTTGGGGGAAAAGGACAGTAGAGGCAAATAGTTTATTTGTAGTATTTGCTTTTCAGGTGGGAAACTGATATAAAGTTTTATAATACAAATCATACATATAATTGTAATGTAAATATATATAATTGTGCATCTAAAGCTGTGGCCATTACAACTTTTTAGCCTAAATGATATTTTTTATTCTTACTTAAGAACCAGTCTTCCTTTGCAAGTCTATTTAATGTGTCCTTCTTCCAATGAACTCTGGTAAGAAGTCTGAAAAAAATAGGAATCTATTTACCTCAAATTGAATTCTTATTACTAAAATTTACAGCACCTTTGGCAGAGAGTGATTTATTAAATGAAGCAATCATATTATAGAAAGTGTTAGGAATTGTCTTTCAGAGAGAACAGCTCACATGTTATTTTGTGGTTTACTGTCACTATCATAAACTTTTTTCTATGTTCTCTAAGGACACATATTTTGCATGTGTCATAAAGTTTTTGATGAAAGAATTTTGTAAAATATAATCACTGTGACGTTCTTACAGATAATTATGGTTAGTTTTCACAAGAACACTCTTCCAGAATAAAACTAGACAACAATGCTTACATTAAATATATAATTTGATGATATATGTATTGAAGCCATTACTTTGACATAACAGAGAATTCAACTATTCAGTAAGGACTCACCAATACCTTTATTGGATCCTGATATATTTGGTGGTTAGAAGTTAGTAAATATTACTATCCAAAATACTGTGATAATTAAAATAAGAAAAAAATAGATGAAAATAATTTTTAATCTTTACTTCAAGAAATGTCTGGAGACCTAGATAACAATCACGTGCCAGCCAAAAAATTCTATGTAAAGTCAGATGACTACTTTTATAAACTACATCTTATATTTTTTTCTAATTAATCTCAATTAATTCTATAGCTGGTTATAGACAGCACATAAATAATTAAATGAGTCTAGAGTAATTTCTAGCAGCTGCTTTATTGTGAATTAAAAGATTGGGAAGACAAGGGGTAGAGAAATAAAAAAGAAAAAATACAAAGATCTCAAGGAAATTTATAAAAATAAAAAAAGTCCATTCTGACACTTGTTAATTGGCATGGATTTCATAATGATATAAGTGTTATGATATTTTCTTTTAATATTAGCAAAGATTTTACTCTGTTTTATAGTTTATATTTAAATGAAAAAAGATTTGAGTAGCACATTAAAAAGAATTACACTGAAATATAGCCAACACTTCAATTTTGGTGTTTTAATCTTTTCCAAATGTTTCTTCATACTAGGTGGATATTATGCCTCATAATAATCCTAGTGTTCATAGGAAAAAGAGTGCTTTCACTATTTTATTAATTGTGAATTGTTAAAGAAAACAGGGCCCAACTCAAGTCACTATACTAATGCCCAAGTAACCAAATTAAAACTTGTTTAGTTGCAGCTCTGGGTTTCCCAGAAATGAAATCTTAAACTAGTCAATCACGAATCGCTTGATGACTTATATGTGGGATACAAAATGTAAAGAATCAAATGAATGAAATAAACAAGCAGAGACTCATGGACATGAACAACAGTTTAGTGTTTAGTTTAGGGAAAAAAGGGCTTGAGGAGACGCAGATAAGGGTAAATGGGTCAAATATATTTTGAAAAAGGAAATTTAACTTTGAGTGGTAAACAGTGCAATGTACAGATGATATATTATTGAATTGTACACTTGAAAGGAATACATTTTTATTTACCAATGTTACTCCCAATGAATTTAATAATAACTAAATAAATAAATTCTAAAAAACAGAATCACATGATCAGTGTCAGTTAGATAATCTGCCTGATAACTGTCCCCTGCCCCATTCTCTATGAGGAAAGTAACTAAAAAACTTGCTTAGGATTTTGGTAAAAGGAAGATTAAAAATAAGTTATCTGAACTCAATAGGACAGACTATTTTTAGCTTTGTGACTCCTCCTTTACTAAATTTCAAAAACAAAACTACCAGCTCTACTATCTCTATAATAATCAAAATATTTATCATTACTTTTATCATTTTCAAGATGGTATCATCACAGACCATGTCTAAAAGTCTTACTAGTTAAAACATTAAAGGGAAAGAAATATACACATGTATACTTTAATGAATAAAATACATGTTATTAACAATAGAATATCATGTTAGATAACAGAGCATGGAATGAGTTGATGAAGTAAAATATAATGCCTTTAGGGCAGAAACTAACATTGTGTTATACATGGTGTATAACTGTACCTAAAACTACAGAACAATGTAATTGTCAAAGGAACTGCTAACAGAAGTTGGCAGAGACTGATGCACTAACTAATCTCCTGATGTGAGTTTTGATTTGAGAATCTGGAGTTGGTAGGATTGACATTACTGGTTCTGTTCATAGACATTCATTTTCCTTGATGATATCAGTTCAGAGGCTTAATAATTTCAAAATTATAGTAAGGATTAAAAACATGGATAATTAAGTACAGTAATGTAAATGCAACTGTGGAGTTTGGGTAATCCTGTAAATAACTTTTAACACTACACTTTGAAACTCATAGATATTTTCTTTTAAAAATGTGAATTGGAATAGAGGTAGCTGTGTGGAGTACAGATATGAAAGCGATAAAAAAACTGAAAGCAAATTACTTTTAGGTCATATTGCTAAATAGAACAAAGATATGTGCAAAGCAAACTGGTTGAGACAGATAGGAGTATTCTCTTATATCATGTGCTTTTGTAGGAAATTATTAGATGAGAATTAAGCTAATATAAGCTTTTCCTTTAGTATCATGATTCAAATGATTCCATGGATGTGTAGTAGGTTAAATAAGTAAGCTCCAAATGTTTATTGATTCTCAAAAATGTCTAGATTTTACCTGGAATCTGAAGTATGTCATAGAAATATTTATTTATCCATTAACTCATTGAATCACTCATTCGAACATTGATTATTCAAATGCTATTGGCCAGCTCTGTGCTATAGAATGAACACTAATAAATATAAGGGTGAAGATATAGAAAATTATTTAGGCAAATAATCTTATATACTTTTTTAGTATATTTCAGCCAAAAATTTTAATGGATTGAATTCTGTTTTTAGTTTTTATATGGAATATGTGATGCACATTACTATTTCATTCACAAGGCAGGATTATTCTGTGGGCATAAAACACGGAAGGTAGATTAATTTGCCTAGTATATACCAAGCACAGTAAGTTTCAGGTTAGTATTTAAAAGTATCTAAAAGTATATCATAAGCTGGAAGTGATTAACTCCTTAAAAGGGAATATAGAGAAATGAAATGCTTCTCTGATAACTATGTGGCAAGCAGTTAAAACATTTAAAACTATAATCATCACACTGTTTTTTTAAGTAATAATTTTCTCAGTGCTGTGATGACATCCTTGTTCCTGAGGCTATATATCATGGGGTTAAACATGGGTGTCACTATGGTATAGAAAAGTGAGAGCAGTTTGTCCATTCCTGCAGTTTGATTGGATTTTGGCCTTAAGTAGGAAATGGTAGAAGTTCCATAGAATAAAACCACCACTAGCAGGTGGGAAGAACATGTGGAGAAGGCTTTGACCCGTCCCGTGGCTGTTGGCAACTGCAGAATAGTGGAGACGATTTTGCAGTAAGAGGCAAGTATCAATGTAAAAGGAATAGCAATAAACGACACGGCTACAAAACAGACCAATATCTCAGGTATAGAAGTGTTCCCACAGCCTAGCTTGAGGATGGCGGGTATGTCGCAGAAGAAGTGGTTAATTTGATTTGATTTGCAGAAATGCAGAGAGAAAATTTCGCATGTTTGTGTTACCTGGATCGGGATTCCACTGATCCAGGCGCCAATGGCCAATCGAATACACATATTTTGGTTCATGACTAGAGGATAGTGCAGGGGGTTACAAATGGCCACGTAGCGGTCATACGCCATCACCGCCAGGAGCAAACATTCAGTGGCTCCCAGTATAAGGAAAAAGCACATTTGGGTGGCACAGTCAAGCATAGAAATGCTTCTATCCTGAGTCCAAAGGTCCATCAGAATCCTAGGGAGAGTGACAGACACATAACAAATTTCCAATGAGGAAAAGTTTGCCAAGAAAAAATACATGGGTTTCTGCAGTGCAGGGTCGAGCCTGGTTAGTACTATTATGAGGCTATTTCCCATTAAGATTATTATGTAAACGATGATGAACACCCAAAAAGTTTGATTGGATTTTGGCCTTAGGTAGGCAATGGTAACAGTCCCATAAAATAAAACCACCACTACCAGGTGGGAAGAACATGTGGAGAAGGCTTTCGTCCGTCCGGTGGCTGTTGGCAACCGCAGAATAGTGGAGATGATTTTGCTGTAAGAGGCAAGTATCATTATAAAAGGGATTGCAGCAAATAGCACAGCTACTACATAGACCAAAAACTCATGTATGAAAGTATTCCCACAGGCTAGCTTGAGTATGGGGGGTATGTCACAGAAGAAGTGATTAATTTGATTGGAATTACAGAAACGCAGAGAGAAAATTTGGCATGTTTGTCCGACCTGGACCGGGATTCCACCAATCCAGGCGCCAACAGCCAATTGAATACATATCTTTTGGTTCATGACTAGAGGATAGTGCAGGGGGTTACAAATGGCCACGTAGCGGTCATACGCCATCACCGCCAGGAAGAAACTTTCAGTGGCTCCCAGTATAAGGAAAAAGCACATTTGGGTGGCACAGTCTAGCATAGAAATGCTTCTATCCTGAGTCCAAAGGTCCATCAGAATCCTAGGGAGAGTGACAGACACATAACAAATTTCCAATGAGGAAAAGTTTGCCAAGAAAAAATACATGGGTTTCTGCAGTGCAGGATCGAGCCTGGTTAGTACTATTATGAGGCTATTGCCAATTAAGATTATTATGTAAACGATGATGAACACCCAAAATAGTAACCCTTGGAGCTGTGGAAACTCATAAAATCCTAGGAGTACAAATTGCGTCACTGTGGAAACATTGTCTTCTGCTTTCATGTCTTCATCTCTCATCTGTGGGAATGATTTAATCAGAAGGACAGGTTACTTCTCTTTCTTTGGCTTTTGTTTTCTTATTTATAAAATGAGTATGTCATGTCTTCTGATTTTCCCAATTGTCTATGAAAACAAACCTATCACTGCCAGGAACTCTAAAAAGAGTGCCATGGTGTATTTTTCATGATTATTTAAGATGTCTGTGAGAAATAAATTCCTTTTTCTTTTTTTTCTACTACATGTTATTATATGTCTTTGATTCTGTTGATGAGATAATGTGATTTTAGTTTTGCCATTCATCTGAACACCCCAAAATGCAAAATCTGAATTCATGTTCAATTGTAACAATTGTAACATTTCTTCAGCTGACCAGTTTTTCTTCTCACCTTTGACACCTGTTTTCTAGAACATTATGAATTTAATATAAATTTAATTACAGAAACAATATATTGGAAGACATCTAAAATAGTTGTTAGGAATGAATGAAGTGAATTTTTTAAATTGATGGCTTTCCTGTGGTATTTCTAAAGTCTTGTGTAGCTTTGACAGTCTGCTTATTTAGACTGTTTTATTAAACAAAAATTGATAAGCCAACCATTAAATATTATGGGAAGTTATTTAATCTTTATTACTATGTATTACAATGTAAGATCTATGAAATCAGCAGTCATAACTTTTATGCATGCTTTGCGGCATGAAGAGAAGGAACTCTAAGTCTTTCTCTCAAGGAAAGTTCAAGAGATAGGAGGCAGGCTCATCTGGAATTAATCTTCAAATAATCAATTCTGACTAAAGTGCTCACCTCTCACATACTTATTGTAGGAAAGAGACATCAGCCCCAACTCATCTTTGAGGTTTTGTTAAATCACCCATATTCTCACTCATTGCTACAGTTCTGCTGAATCTTTAAATCCAGTCAGTCTTTTTTTTTGCACTCGCGTTCATGCACGTGAGTGTGTTGGGTATGATTGTCCACGTTTATTATGTTCTTTTCTTATTGTTATAATAATATTCTAATCTTCTTTTGATATTCTGTATACCTTTCTAAGGAATGCTTAGTGCTTTTGTTTCACAAAAACTAACTTTTTCTTTTCTCATTACAAGTCATGATCTTATAGAGGTATACGTGGACTTAGGTGAAAAATTTAATAACTTCTTGATTAAATTACATTTGGGTCAAATTGGTTGCTTCTTTGGAATGATACCCAAGGTGTAAACATAGGTACCTAATCAGATGCTGAATTTCCACTTCCCCTCTCCCCTGGTATAGGTCAAGCATACACCTCTCTCCCTCCCTCCACCCCCCAGAAGTTCAGAATTATACTCTTTCATTCATTTTTGCTCAGTAACATGTTGCATCATTGTTTTTTCTATGTGTTAAAGAACTTCCATTTTATGTGTTAATTAATTTAAAAACCAATAAGGATTCTCTGCAAAGTGGAGACACACTTTGAACTATATTTTAAGGGGTTAAGTGCAGACAGTAGTTAAGATTTCAGCAAGAGAAATGTGAACACAAGTAGGTCAGATGTAACAGTCCAGGTAAAACTCGGGCATTCTGAAGATTTTCCATGCCTGGGAAAAGGAGAGTTAAATAATTTATTTTACCATCTGCAATAGTCCAGATAACATATTAAGGTACTTAAGGTATTTGACCCTTCCCCCATAATCATACAATTCTCTTGATGAAAATTTGATTGTAGGGAATGTAGAGTGCTGTAACGGAGTCTCTAAGATGGTCAGAAGCTAGTAACTGATCGGTGACTTTACTAAGATGATTTCATGTGTGTAAGATTACACCAACATGATTCTTTTTTTCATTACAGCATTCTACACATCTTTAAACATGTTTTATTCACAGGTTAAATTCTATGTAAGGTCTAATACTTGGTCAGTGATGAACCTGTTGAATGAATTAATACAATACATCTTCTAAATTAGCATGCATCATGCACTCCCATTTGGTGAGTTAACCGTTGCTTCTAGAAACACTCACCCATTTTACCTTCTTTATGTGACCCTTTTTCTCATTCAATCACCTCTTTACATTATTGTATACTTTTCAAGTAGGGGAGTACGTTTAAGAGCAAACTGAAACTAAAGTGCCAAAAAGCAATTAGCAAGAAGAAATAACAACACTTGCAATAAAAAAAAAGTGTTCTACATCTACTAAAACTTTTTTGCCTTAATTTTCAATATGTAAAAGAGTGACAATTTCATGAATATTCAATGGATTTATCAATGTAAAACCATTTGTAAGAAGAGACATATTATAATTATTTAAGTGCTCTCTTAATCATACTATCTTCTAAACACATTCACGGCAAAAAAATTCCCTCAAATCTTGCAATATAGAGTATTTTTTCAGACTCCTGGAAAACTTTAGATGCTTCTATTTATACAGCTCAGAAAGAAACCCAGTGTAAAATGCAACTTATCATAGTCACTCTTATTTTTATTCAAACACTTTCTCGTTATTTCTCTGGTCTTCCCACTGTTATAGTGACTTTTTTTGAGGAGGAGATTGTGATATCAACTACACAAACCATCATCCCAATGGATATAATTCTTACATTCAGAACAGGTTTAGAAAATCATAATGAAGATAGAAAAGAAAAATCAGAAATTGGTGAATGCAATTGATTCAGAAGGTTTTTTCCTCTAGGAAAAGTCTCTAGAGGTGAATATGGAAACATGCCAATATCTCTTTAATATTTTCAGATTCACGTATCCTGAAACTTAACAAAAAAGAAATCCTTTTGATACTAGCAGGAATCAAATCCATTTCAATGAAGTACATTCACTAACTTTATCCTCTTTAGTTATAGAAAATTAAATTTTCATGAGATGTGATCTCCAGATTTAGTTCATGCAAAATACTTAATTAATGCTTAACACAGAGTAATCGATACATGCTAACACCTAAGTTGATGATAACGATGATGGTTACCATGATAATAAGGATAACGACAGTATTCCTTGATATATTGGCCCGTTATAGTAAACGTATTTTGTATTTTCCCATTTGATGTTATAATGATGAGTCAGACAAGTACAAGATCTATGTGAAACAGTATTTTAGAGTTAACCAATAACAAAAAACAACAAAAGATTCTTTTTTTAAAAAATTTTCTGTAAATGAATTTTTTTGCTGATACTAAAATAGATCCAGACAAATGTAGACACAAATTTGGTATTAGACAAAAATAATTCATGCTTACCTTTTTGGACTGAGGATAAATATAATGCTTACCTTTATTGATTAAATTTTAAAATAGACTGTGAGATAAAAAGTGTTTTGGGTTCTATTTTTTGGAAGATTAGATAATTCGCTTTTTTCGAAATAGAGATTAGTCACCTTCAAAAATATGTCCTATTGTCGTAACAAACAGCGCTCCTTAAGTAGAAAATATTCTTTACTCTTGGGATCAGCTCTTTCCAAGGTCACTTTCTAATTGAACAAAAACATTCTGTCTGCCACTCGGAAAATTTGGTACAACAAACAATATCTTGCCATATCACTCCCCTAAATTTTTTGACTCTCTTACTTTGTGATTATTAAGAAATATAGCCTTAAAAGTCAGAAATTTTTAGTTACATATTAGTTATGGTAGACACAAAGAAGTTCTAAAAATGCCAATCTATAGTGTGTTAATTAGAGAAAAGTTTATTTCTCTGTCATTAAAAATTCAGAAGAAAGAAGTCTAATGTCACTTTCAACATGAGTCTCTCATCTGCACATTCATGTTAGCCAGGTCTCATCATCTCCAGACTACAGAAAGAAGAGTGAGGAAGTGTTCCACAGGTGATAAAATAAAAGAAATAATATTTCAACTACATCAAAACCTAAAACCTTTGTAATCTAAATGAAACCATTAAGAAAGTGAAAGACATGCCACAAACAAAAGATTTGTATATCATATATTTGGTAATGAACTTGTACGTAGAGTATATAAAAATTCCATTCGACTCAGTAAAAGACAAATAACCCCATTTAAAATATGCAAAAGATTTGAAGAGATATTACACCAAGGAAGATCATAATTATACCCCAAATTAGAAAAATAACAACTCATCATAGAAAATCAAATCAAAACCACAACTTCACACCTACTGGAAAGACTATACTAAAAAAGACAGACAATAACAAGATTTGGGAGGATGTCATACTTGAGAACACGTGGAAATAGATTTTTATTAATTGATTTCTATTTTTAATTTCTTTTAATCTATGCATCATTGAGCATCTAAACTGTTCTTTCTGTCAGTTTCTCTGTCTATGTAATAATACTTCCTAAAATTAATTATGTCCCAGCAATATTGTGAAAATATAATCACGATCTTGAATCCAAAGAGTATTGTTGGAAAATGCAAGAATTTTAAAGAAGGATGCCTTTGACAAAATTCAGTTTCTGTAGAATAAACACTATCAGTTTAAACAATGACATTAATTTTATTTAAACAATATTAATGAAAATCCATTTATATATGTATATATATATGATGTATATATTTGTGATATATATGTATATCTTAGTATATGTGTATACTGATATATACACAGTCATTATAAATATAATTAGTTGAATGAAACCATCTAGAAATGAAAGTCCACCTATGTGTTGTCATACATATGCATACACAAAAACTTCATCTATTTATTAATGCATCTGTTGTCATCTATGTGTATGTCTTAGACATAAAATGTAAACATACATTTGACGTCTGTCCAGGAAAGCAATATTCTCCTCCTGAAATGTGTATCCATTTACGCAAACACACAAGCACACACACACAGAGATTAAAATGAGTTCCCATGTAAATATATGTTTTTGTAATTCTAAAGAAGAAAATTCAGTTTCTCAGCACTATAAAAGAATTGTTCTGGAAAAAGTACAACTCAAAACAATTAGAAACAAAGGATCATTTTGCTAATAAAGATATTTATAATGTACAAAGCATTGAACACAGATGCACATATTCATTATGTTTAAAAAACTAGTGATGCACATACATTC